AAAGGGTAGGGACCCAGGGAGGTCAGTACCAGGTGCTGCCCAGCACCAACGTGTCATCCCGAGTCAAGACGCTGAGTTTTTCTTTCAGATGAGACGGAGGCCGCAGCAGCTCCCCAAGGCAGCGACGACATGCTCTACTGTGAGGCTGAGGCTGTCAGCACTGTTGTGAAAGAGAAGCCCACCTGGGAGGATTCTGAAACAGACCTAGAAATCGAAGGTGAGAATGGGCCTCTGGGGACAGAGTGGCAGATCATCAGTTCCCTCAGAGCCAGAGAAACTTGGTTCTATCAGCAGGCTGTCCTCCAGGGGATCACACCAGAGGCCCATGCATGAGTCTACAGCACATCCTCCAGGCGGCCTGGGGACAGCAGCTACAGCTACCAGCTGTGACCTACTTCGAGGAGTGTCCCATACCAGCCTGTTCAGAGCTTAACCAACACACCGGGCTTTCCTGTCTTAAGCATTTCCCCATGTGTCATCCTGTGTGATTTCTCCACAGTCCCAGGAAGGGGACATTACTCTTAGCCTTTTTCAGAACAGGAAACTGAGGCTTAAAGAACATGTGTGAGCTGCCTAAAGCCAGCAGAAGCTGGCCAAGCTGTGTTGGCTGAGCCCACACTTGACCCACCCTGATCTGCCCTCTGTGTCCACTATTCTGGTGCCACGGAGTGTCTCTGTGGCCTATCTTGCAGCCTGGTGACTTTGTGATCACCTCAAAGTTCTCTTGTCCCCTACTCAAGAATCCGATGGGGGCTGGGGAGATGGCTCAGTGAGCGCTTCCCTGGCAAGCGCAAGGGCCTGAGTTCAATCCCTGGTTCCGCCAAAAAAAAAAAAAAAAGAAGCCGATGGCAAATCGAAGCCTGCCGAGCTGCAGCAAAGTTTCTGGTATTGCATATAGCACCTCGGCCTTCTCCTCACCAACACACACACATACACAGAGTTCCCCAAGGCAGGAAGTGCAGAAAGAACATTTTTTTTGTTGTTGTTGTTGTTGTTGTTGTTTTTGCGGAACCAGGGATTGAACTCAGGCCCTTGCACTTGCCAGGGAAGCACTTATTCCACTGAGCCATCTCCCTGGCCCCCAGAAATCTTTTTGTATTAGCATTCAAGTTGTTTGAAGACTTAAGAGCTATCTGCACTTTTTTTTTTTTTTTTTTTTTTGGTGGTACCAGGGATTGAACTCAGGACCTTCTGCTTGCTAGGCAAGCACTTATTCTACTGAGCTATCTCCCCAGCCCAGAAAGAACATGTGTGAAGCAAGGAGAGGACACTGCTGGTCCTCTCAGGTGGGACCAGCCTTGGGTCACCAGTCGCACTTCCTGCCCACACCCTTGTGCTTAGAAGAGCAGACGTGAGTCACAAGTATAAGAGACTGAGGAGAGACTGGTGGACCTTAGAATGAAACTGGAAAGCTCATGAATGCCGAGCCAGCCTGTGAGGCCTCCCTACCACCATAAACACAGCTCCGCTTCTGCACACATCTCCCTGCTGCCCCAGACATCCTGCCGGTCTCTCTCTGATTTCTCATCCTCTTCGAGGTGGTCACTAGTGCTGCTCTCCACGTCTGATTTTACCTGGTGAGAGGAGGTGGCAGAGGACAACACTGAATGTTTTGCCTGAGGTCCCTGCTGTCCCCTCGCTCCTTCTTGCCCCCTTGTCCCAGCAAGTGACAACACAGTGCATATAGCTAGAAAGGATCAGCATGAAGGATCAGAGCAGAACTGGCCCCAAGGATGAAACGGGCTGCCTCACACCCTCCCCACCCCCACAACCTCCAGGGGTGGCCAAACACTGTTGTGAGAAGAAACCCGGAGCTCAGCTGCTCTGCCTTCGGGTGCCCTGCTGCTGGTGCTGGGTGCAAGGTAGGGGCAGGAGGCTCCCTGATGAAAGCAGCAGGCTGGAGGTGGGGCTGCAGAAGCCAGCAGACAGACGGACGGAGGGGCGGATGGACAGACAGATGGATGGACGGACGGACACGGGCTTTGCCCACACACCACAAGCTGTTTCCCTTTCAACAGTGTTCATGCCCAGAGGCAAATGTACACCCAGGGGACATTTGGCAAACGAAGGGGTGAAGGACTGTTTATGGCACGTGCATGCCAGGTCCAGAGCCAGGGAATCTTACTCAGCCCACAATGCCTAGGACAGCCCCTAGCAGTGGAGAAGTTTCCAACTGGAAATGTCAGCAGCACTAATGCTGAGGAACCTTGCCATGTGACCATGCTAAAAAGAGATTGCCATCCTGACCAGACTAGCTTCCCTGGAAGGCTGTCCTTTCCCCAACAAGCCTTCCATCTGCTTTCAAAATGTTGGACGTAGGTTGTCTAAAGGCCCTGGGATCTGAAGGAAAACAGACTCACATGTAGATGTCAGCTGGCCACGAGGAGCTTGGCCAATGATCAGATTTGCATCATGGGGCCCTTAGAATCCAGCGTGGCGCAGTGCCTGTGGGCCATGAATCAGGCTGATCTCATGTCTAAGGAATGAAGGACCCAAGAGGTAGAAATGAAGAGGCCGGGTCCCTTTTTCTGTAAGCTGGCTTTATCTTTGGTCATTTGAGTGGCATAAGTGTTTTCTTCTATCTGACTCTGATTTGCCACTTGAGATGGCCACTCTAGCCCATGCGGGTATTTTCTTGGTTCTTATCTGCTTTGGCAACGCTCTATTCATAGTGGTGGCAAAACGGAAGCTGAATGGAGACTCCCTAGCCACAAAGTCTCCAAGGTGGTCACAGCTGCCCACGCCTGCAGTCTCAGCACTCTGAGAGGCTAAGACAGGAAGACTTGTCCCTGCAAGTTTGACGCCAGCCTGGTCACTTAGTGAGACTCTCTCAAAATAAAAAATAATCATAAAAAGGGATGGAAGCCAACCAAATAGCTCAGCGGATTAAAGCGCCTGCTTAGGCAGATGCAGCAGCCAAGGTTCGATCCCCAACCTGCTGTGCCAGCCCTGCCCCTGCGGCGCACTGAGACAGTGACTAAGACTGGGCATGGTAGCATGCGCCTGTAATCCCAGCTCTTGGGAGGCTGAACACAGGTGGATCACTACGAGTCCAATCTATATAGTGAGACCATGTAGACCCTGTAGACCCTGTACTAAAATAATTTTTTTAAAAAGGATGGAGATGTGGCTTAGTAGTAAAATACCCAGGGTTCAATACCTAGTATCAGTAAAGAAAAATTATTCAAGCACCCAGCATTGTGCCTACTGTCTCTACCTTTGGGGATTGTTCCAACGTGGCAGGAGGAGAAGCCTCCAGATATGCGAGGAGGATGGGATGACGATGCACCTCTCGTCTCTGCTAAGAAAGCCCAGGGCCTAAATCCAGAGGCCTTACATCTTACCAAAGAGTATTGCCGGGGCTGGGGAGATGGCTCAGTGGAATAAGTGCTTCTCTGGCAAGTGCAAGGGCCTGAGTTCAATCCCCGGTTCCGCAAAAAAAAAAAAAAAAAAAAAAGGTTAAAAAAAAGAAATGAGTATTGCCTGGTGCTAGAGAGACAATAAGCAAAGCCGACTTGATCCTGCCTTTCTCCATAGATACTGAGAGGTCCTTCACCACTGGACAAAGGGAGTTGTACCTGGAGGCCTGCAGACTGGTGGGAGTGGTGCCCGTCTCCTACTTCATCCGGAACATGGAAGAGCCCTACATGAATCTCAACCACCATGGTTTGGGCCCCATGGGTACAAAGGCTATTGCTATAGCCCTAGTGGTAAGCATGCTTGCGGGAGGTGACAGATAGAACCTGGACGACTGATACAGTGGCTGGCCGAGGATTCAGAAGGCCCTTCCTGTAGAGCCTAGAAGGACACTCTTTGTGCCCACCTGCCCTGAGTTCTACTTGTAGCCAGCTGACTTCCCCCAATAGGTCTGAATTCCCCTTGAGCTGCAGGAAGGAGGCTGCTAGGGACCCAGCATTCGGGCAGCCAACGCCAAGCCTGTGGGCCCAGGACTGGAACTGGGCAGAAGAGTTTGTGCAAGAACACAGTACAATACCCAGACCTGCACGCCGCTGCAAAGCTCGCTTGTATGATCAGTGGGTCTGCTCCTCAGACGCTCTTTCTGACGCTTGCCCTTTGCAGCATTAGAATTCATAAAGACAGACATACTATACAGTAAATCTTGTTTCCCCTGAGGAATAATGCTATTTTTTGGTTTGACCTGAGTCAACAGGAACTTGAATTCATCATAGCTTTATATAATCATAATTGATTGTGTGCAAAACAGATTCTCATCACAGAAAATATAGCAACTGTATGTTAACACAACACCCTTTGTTCACTTAGACAAAGATAAAGCTCAAAATTTATTTATTTACTTATTTCATTTTATGTATTTGGTACAGGGTCTCACTACACAGCTCAGACTCATAGTGATCCTCCTGTTTTCAGCCTCCCCAGCACTGGGATTACAAGCATGCGCCACCACTCCCAGACTCCCTGGCTCAGCAACACCCTATGGGCAGGGCTGGCACGGCATGCGGGACTGGGGATCGAACCCTGGTCCTTGTGCTTGTTTGAGCAAGTGTTTAGTCTGCTGAGCTATCTCACTAGCCCTAATGCTCAAGTTTTAAAAGCCCAGTAAGGCAGAAGGCAGAAGGTGAAAGTTCTTTAGAGGTAATACTTTAAAATCAGCACTTTTTTTTTTTTTTTTTTTTTTTTTTTTTTTTGTCTTTTTGAAACAGGGTCTTGCTATGCAGTTCAGGCCTGCCTTGAGCTCACTTTGTACCCCAGGCTGGTCTTGACTTGCAACGATCCTCCTGCCTCAGCCTCCCAAGTGCTATGATTACAGGCATGTGCCACCATGCAAGCAAAATCAGTAGTCTTTTTTTTTAATCAGTAATCTTTGGACTGATAATGGAAAGAAACAATAAAAGAAAAAAGATTGAGAATAATCTTTAAAGTATGCATTTCTAAAAGATCTGAAAGGAGAAGAGTCAGTGAATCCTGTAGGGAATGACTAAGAAGTGGGAAGAGCCAGCCAGAGACAGAAAGGACAAGTGCCAGGAAGAGGGACTCAGCTGGGTCCAAAGGGAAAGAAGCCTACAAGGATGATGAACAAGGAAGCCCATTGTGTGCTTTGATGGCTACACAGTTGTGACATGCATGGCAGCGCGCAGAAACCCCGCAGTACGCCGTCCAGGTACACTGCCAGGCTGCAAGTTCCTAGAGACGTCAGGTATATGCGGGTCACTTGGCGACATTGTTCCTGGCTCGTGCTGAAGAGTGCCTTTGGGTAATATATGGTATAGTTTTCATTTTCTCTTTTCCCGCATGTTCATACTTTTCTGAAAACATAGCAGCATTCGCATTTAGCTTATACACTAAGAAGCGGAATAAAAGGGACAATTGTACAACATTCTGGGAAAGGGGAGGAAAGAGCAGAGTAGAAACAAAGCCATCTTGAAATGTATCCAAAGCTGAAGCGGCGTAATGAAGTGCTGGGAATGCACCATTACCTCATGGGCTTCTTGGGGGTCTGTGGATAGCAGTGAGACCCTCTCAGGACTCGGGCACTGTGTCTTAGGGGTGGGACCTGCTGTTGGGAGAGGGTAGCTACTCTCCTCTCTCATTCTCTGTACCATAATAAGCACTGTGACACTCTGATGGGCTAGACTTCCTTTTTTTTTTTTTTTTTGCGGAACCGGGGATTGAACTCAGATCCTTGAGTTTGCCAGTCAAGCGCTTATCCTACTGAGCCATCTCCCCGGCCCCTAGACTTTCTCTTTCACTGTTTGAATTCCCACAGACCTCTCTCTGCTTCCCCAGCTTAGAGCAGAAGTGCCCTGAGCACAGGGATCATGACTCAACCTGAGGGACACACCCCAGCTACAAACCTCCCTTCTCCCTCTTATTCTCAATACAGAGTGCCAGAGAACAGGAACATCTTTGGATTTGAGACTTTTCAAAGCACATATAGCAGCGGAGCCTTGAACTTCATAATGGGCTGGGGAGAGACTTGAGTGTACGAATGCTTTCCGCTAGCACCTGGGACAGAGTGACAGGAGGCCCATGGGAAGTGGGTGTGGACGTAGATGGCTTTCTGAGTGAGCCTCCTCCTTCACCCTACAAACTGCTGGTCCCAAGCCTGCCAGTCCCACCCACTCTGCTAGTCCCAACTCCAGTGTCCAAACACGAGTAAACAGCACCCAGCTGGGAGGCACCTGAGCCGTCTTCCATACCCTGGCCTACCACGGTGCATTGCAGTGGCTCCAACAGCACGTCTCTCTTTGCTGAGAGGCACCAAGGCTCCTTTGTACCCGACACTTGTCCACTGCTAGATGTGCTTTGAAAATTCTCAAATCAAAAGATGTTCTTGTTGTCTGGCACTTTGTATTGAGAACAAGGAGAAAAAGGAAAAACAAAAATCCTGATTAGAGTGAACCCATCTTTCATGCTGCCACGTGAGTCGTTCCCTCTCATCGTGCTCTCAGGAGGAATGCAGACTAGCTTGCATTTAGGTATTTACTAAAGATCTACTTCTAGCTCCTTCCAAACAAGTTTGAGACAACTTCTTATCAAAAGAGAGTATCAAAGGTTGGGGTGAGATCAGGGGTACAGCACTTGCCTAGCATGTGTGA